ATGAAGGAACTCATTATTGCAAAGACTCCCCTTGTTTGCATTTCTAGCAGTGTTTCCCAGCCAACTCTGGAGATGAACAAATTCTTTCCTCCACTTATCCTTCCTTCCCTATTTCTTTCAACTGGTATTGAACAAGGATACTGAGGCAATTCGAGGGGGAAAGTTTAATCTTTTTAAGAAATGGTGCTGGAATAATAGGGGGGAAAATGAACCTTAATCGTTACCTTATACCACATGTGATACATTGTTTCTTGTTTATGCTAATATTTGCTCACTGGAGAACTGAATCTATTTTAGAATTAATTTGGGGCCAGGATGGTGGCTCACGCCTATAATTCTAGCACCATGGAAGGCTGGGAAGGAAGGATCCTTTGAGCTCAGGAGTTTGAGATCAGCTTAAGCAAAAGCTAGACCCCTGTCTAGACTAAAAATGAAAAAAAATCAGCCAGATGTTTTGGCAGGTGCCTGTAGTCCCGGCTGCTTGGGAAGCTGAGGCAGGAGGATGATTTGAGCCCGGGAGTCTGAGGTTGTTGTGAACTAGGCCTTGGCACTATAACCTGGGCAACAGAGTGGGCTCTGTCTCAAAAACAAACAAACAAAGATTCTCTAAAAAGAAAAGAACTGGGGGGCACCTGTGGCTCAGTGAGTAGGATGCTGGCATAGTGAGACTCTGTCTCAGAAAATAAACAAAGAGGGCAGCGCCTATGGCTCAAAAGGGTAGGTGCAGCTCAAAAGGGTAGGCACAGGCCCCGAATGCTGGAGGTGGCAGGTTCAAACCCAGCCTCCGCCAAAATAAAAAAGAAAGAAAAAGAAAAAAAGGAAGAAAAGAACTAATTTGGCTAATCTTGTGAGTCAAGTTTTAAGTAGGAGTCTCAAAGTCAGCATTCTATCCTTATTCTCATTCTGCGAATTTAAAAACATTGGCCTGAGGTTAACTACATTTGATAAATATTTAAAATAAATTTTAAAACTTCAAGATTTTTGTCCTTGTTGATAAACTTACTGTTTTCACAAACAATCCACTTTAACTAACACACAGTTTATGTTAACAAAAGTATGTAAATATTGTCAATAAAACAATCCAGATAGCTTTTTTTGTTACTCAAAGTCTTGGGCTCAAGCAAGCTCTTGACTCAGACTCCTGATTAGCTGGGACTACAGGCCCCCCGCCACAACACCTGGCAAGTTTTTTTCTTTTCTTAGTAGAGACAGGTGTAGCTCTTGCTCAGGCTGGTCTGGAACTCCGAAAATCAAGAGATCCACCCGCCTCAGCCTCCCACAGTGCTAGGATTATGATGTGAGCCATGGCACGTAGCGGTGGTTATACTCATAAAGAACAATAAAACAGGACAGCGCCTGTGGCTCAAAGGAGTAGGGTGCTGGCCCCATATACTGGAGGTGGCAGGTTCAAACTTGGCCCCAACCAAAAATCTGCAAAAAAAAAAAATTAAAAATTAAAAAGAACAACAAAACCAATCCTTAAACTTTCCTGTATGGGTAAGGGACTTAGAATCAAGTGGTTTTTCAGGTTTGTTGGCTTTCTAAATTTAGATATATTTTTTCTTATATTTTAGCCCACAAAGACAAATGCTGAAACTGACAATTTTTTTTTTTTTGACACACGTGAGAAACATCTGTACCAGTTATAGATTTAATATCTGTTTCTGTAACTCTCCTAAAAATCGCACATTTCATGTTTCTAGCTATTGTCCTTCAGTGATAATTTGGAAGTGTCTGAAGATTGTATCAAAGTGAAGAGCTGCACTTTGGGGCCGCGCCTATGACTCAGTGAATAGGGTGCTGGCCCCATATACCGAGGGTGGCAGGTTCAAACCTGGCCCTGGCCAAACTTCAACAAAAATATAGCCGGGTGTTGTGTTGGGCACCTAGAGTTCCAGCTACTTGGGAGGCCGAGGCAAGAGAATCACCTAAGCCCAAAAGCTGGAAGTTGCTGTGAGCTGTGACACCATAGCACTCTGCCGAGGGCGATGAAATGAGACTGTCTCTAAGAAAAATAAAGAAGTGCACTTTGGCTCAGCCCCCATAGCTCAGTGAGTAGAGCGCCAGCCATATACACTGAGGCTGGTGGGTTGAGCCCGGCCCAGCTTGCTGAACAACAATGACAACTGCAACCAAAAACAAATAGCCGGGCGTTGTGGCAGGCGCCTGTAGTCCCCGCTACTTGGTAGGCTGAGGCAAGAGAATAGCTTAAGCCCAAGAGTTTGAAGTTGATGTGAGCTGTGACGCCACAGCACTGTACAGAGGGTGGCCTAGTGAGACTCTGTCTCAAAAAAAAAAAAAGAAGTGCACCTTGTGTCTTTAAAGGAAGCGCTGTCGTGCACTTTTCCGTCTGTTGACCAGTTGATTTACTTTACATGTGGTCTGTCCTGGTTCACTGCGCCCTGGGAACTTGTCCGCCCTGGCCCATCCCCAGCTGTAACAATAGCTAACGTTTACTGAGCCTGGGCTGTGTGCCAGATGTTAAGCAAAATACTGTACACAGGTTCTTGTTCGAATCTAATGCTTCTAGGTAATACCATTAGCATCTCCACATTGTAGATGGGGTAACAGATTTAGAGACATTGAGTAACATACCCAAGTTACACATTGTAATGGAGGATCCAGGATTGAAATCTAGTTTAGTCTCAGTCAAGTGCGGCCATCTCAATTGCAATTATCGACCACAATGTGACCCAGGAGCCTCAGTCTGGACATGGTACTAGAAGGACCATCAGGGGCCTTCCAGGTCTGTCTTAAAGCAAGTCAACCTCCACAATGTCCCTCTGCACCCATTTCTGGCCCCAACACAGTCAGCTCAGGGAACAGCCCCACCCTCGGGAATCCCCTCATATCTTCAACTCATTCATTCAACAGATATTTACTCTGTGTCCACAATATGCTCCTGATAGAGCAGTGGACAAGACAAAGTTGTAACATCTGCTGAGTTGACATTTCATTTATTTATTAATTATCATATGGCATCAACACAGCTCACCGCAGCCTCAAACTCCTGAGTTCAAGTGACCCCCCTGCGTCAGCCTCTGGAGTAGGTATACTCGGCCTCTTGAAACCAATTTTATTAAAGGATATTTACATACAATAAATGCATATGATTTATGTGTACAGTTCAATGACCTTTTTTTCCCCAGAAGCTTAACCAAGTGCTATTTTTTCCAGTTTAGTGAGTTTTGACAAATCCTTGCATCCATGTATGTATCACCAAAGTCAAGATATAGAACATTTCCGTCCCCCCAAAATGGCCTCCTTTACCATGTCAAAACTCACTCCTATTCCTTGCCCCAAGTAACCAATGATCTGCTTTCTTTCTTTCTTTTTTTCTTTTTTTTGAGACAGAGTCTCACTATGTTGCCCTGGGTAAAGTGCTGTGGTATCACAGCTCACAGCAACCTCAAACTCTTGAGGGTTTGAGTGATTCTTTTGCCTAAGCCTCCCAAGTAGCTGGGACTACAGGTGCCCACCACAACACATGGCTATCTTTTATTGCAGTTTTCATTGCTGTTTAGCTGGCCAGGTTGGGTTTGAACACGCCAGCCTCAGTGTATGTGGCTGGCGCTGTGCTGCGGGTGCTGAGCCAATGATATACTTTCTAACACTAAAAATTTGATTCATCTTTCCTCAAACTTCATAAAAATGAAATCACATGATATGTAATCTTTCATGTCTGGCTTCACATATCCTCTATTGTGAAGTTTGTATTCAATTTTTTTCTTTGCTTTGTTTTGTTATTGAGGTTTTAGAGGTTTTTATACATTCTTAACACAAGTTTTTTGACTTCGTGATTTGTGTATTGCAAATAGTTTCTCCCAACCTGTAGCTTGCCTTTTCATTTTACTAATGATGTCTTTTTGCAAATGGAAGGTTTTTATTTATTTCACCAATTTTTTAATGGTTTTTGCTTATTATTTTTCTTTCTTTCTTTTATTTTTCTTTCTTTTCTTTCTTTTTTTTTTTTTTCTTGGCAGGGCTGGGTTTGAACCCACCACCTCTGGCATATGGGGCCAGCACCCTACTCCTTGAGCCACAGGCGCTTTTTCTTTTTTTTTTTCTTTTTTTAGACACAGAGTCTCACTTTGTGGCCCTTGGTACAGTGCTGTGGCATCACAGCTCACAGCAACCTCCAGTTCTTGGGCTTAAGTGACTCTCTTGCCTCAGCCTCCCAAGTACCTGGGAATACAGGCACCTGCCACAAAGCCCAGGGCCGGGTTTGAACCTGTCACCCTTGGTATATGGGGCTAGCGCCTTACTCACGGAGCCACAGGCGCCACCCTGCTTATTATTTCTTTTCAGAAAAATCTTTGCCCACCCTAAGTTCACTTCCTATGTTTTCGCTAGAAGTTTTATAGTTTTAGCTTTATGTTTAGGTCTATAACCCATTTTTAATTTATTTTATTTTATTTTATTTTTTTTTTTTTGAGACAGAGTCTCACTATGTCGCCCTCTGTAGAGTGCTGTAGCATCACAGCTCATAGCAGCTTCCAGCTCTTGGGCTTAAGCGATTCTCTTGCCTCAGCCTCCCAAGTACCTGGGAATACAGGCACCTGCCACAACACTCGGCTATTTTTTTTGTTGTACTTGTCATTGTTGTTTCAGCTAGCCCTGGCTGGGTTTCGAACCTGCCAGCCTCGGTGTATACGGCTGGCACCCTACTCACTGAGCTATGGGAGCCGAGCCAAGATCTATTTTCTTTTCTTCTTCTTTTTTTTTTGGTTCAGGAGGTTTTAATTTTTTTTAGAGACAGAGTCTCACTTTGTCACCCTCGGTAGAGTGCTGTGGCATCACAGCTCATAGCAACCTCCAGCTCTTGGGTTTAGGCGATTCTCTTGCCTCAGCCTCCCTAGCAGCTGGGACCACAGGCACCCACCACTATGCCCAGCTATTTTTTGTTGCAATTTGGCCGGGGCCGAGTTTGAAGTCACCACCCTCGGTATATGGGACCGGCGCCCTACTCACTGAGCCACAGGCGCCGCCCAGATCTATTTTCTTAATTAGAACAATTCATGAACATGCATGTCATCCTTATTCAGGGGCCATGCTAATCTCTGCATAGTTCCAATTTGAGTATATGTGCTGCCAGACTAAGCATTATCTATGTTTTGATATGTCTTTCAAGTCTTATGCTATTACACTGTCTTATAAGTCCTCTAATTTCATTCTTCCTTTTTAAAATTGCATTGGTTAATAGGTCCTTTGAATTTCTGTATACCAGTTAGAATCAACTTTTCAATTTCTACCAAGACAGCCTGCTGAGTTTTTGACTAGGATTTTTGCATCTATAAAACTGATTTTCAATCTCAATATGAAAAAGTTTGCTTGGAAATAGTAAACATTTTATTTTATTCATAATTTATGTACTTTTATTGAGATGGGGTCTTGCTTTGCTTTCCAGGCTGGTCTTGAGCTCTTGAGCTCAAGCAATTCTTCCTTCTCAGCCTCCCAAGTAGCTGGGAGTATAGGTGCCTGGATCAATACACTTTTTTTTTTTTTTTTTGAGACAGAGCCTCAAGCTGTCACTCTGGGTAGAATACCGTGGCATCACAGCTCACAGCAACCTCCAACTTCTGGGCTTAAGTGATTGTCTTGCCTCAGCCTCCCAAGTAGGTGGGACTACAGGCAGCCACCACAACGTCCAACTATTTTTTGGTTGTAGTTGTCATTGTAGTTTAGCAGGCCCGAGCTGGATTCAAACCCACCAGCTCTGGTGTATGTGGCTGGCACCTTAGCTGCTTGAGCTACAGGCACCAAGACATATTTTAATCAAATGTCTAGAATATGTAGTTATTAACTTTAGCCATAAAGCAATCAAACTTGACATAATCTGAATAATTACTAAAATTAAACCCTCAATTCAAAAAATAATGAAAAATAAGTATTGGTGAGTATATGGAGAAATTGGAACCCTAGTGCACTGCTTGTGAGAATGGAAAATGGTATAAACATGTATAAAACAGTCTGAAAATTTTTCAAAAAGTTAAACACAGAAGTACCAAGCAATTCCACTTCTATGCATATATCCAAAAGAATTAAACATGGGAACCAAGAGATATTTGTGCCCCCATCTTCATAGTTGCATTATTCACAATTGCAAAAATGTGGAGCAATTCAAATGTCCATCAACAGAAGAAATGGATAAACAAAATACAGTATATATATACGATGGAATATCATTTAGCCATACAAAGGAATGAAATTTTGACATATGCTACAACATGGATGGACTTTATGTCACATTATGCTTAGAGACATAAGCCAGACATAGAATGACAAATATTGCATGATTCTATTTTTTTTTTTTTTTTTTTACGTTTTTGGCCAAGGCTGGGTTTGAACCCACCGCCTCCGGCATGTGGGGTTGGCGCCCTACTCCTTTGAGCCACAGGCGCCGCCCTATGATTCTATTTATATAAGGTACCTAGAATAGTCAAAATCATAGAGATTAAAAAGTAGAATAGAGGTTGCCAGGGGCTGAATAAGAAGTTATTAGAATTCTAACATATTTTCTCTTTTGATTGGTTTAAATGACCCTAATGTTTATCTCGAAGAATACAAAACTGGGGCTGGACTCGGTGGCTTGCACCCGTAATCCTAGCACTCTGGGAGCCTGAGGCAGGTGGATTGCTTGAGCTCAGGAGTTCCAGCCTAACCTGAGCAAGAGCCAGAATTATTCCTCTCTAACTATAGTCATGTGTTACGGCAGGCACTTAGTCCAAGGTACTCGAGAGGCTGAGGCGAGAGGATCACTTGAGCCCAAGAGCTTGAGGTTGCTGTGAGCTATGAGGCCATGGCATTCTACCCAGGGCGACAGCTTGAGACTTTGTCTCAAAAAAAAAGGTGAGGCACGGTAGCTCACGCCTGGGAGCTAATCCTACACTGAGAGTCTGAGGTGGGTGGATTGTTTGAGCACAAGTTCAAGACCAGCTGGAGCAAAATCAAGACACCATCTATACTAAAAATAGAAAAACTGAGGCAAGAGGATCGCTTGAGCCCAAGAGTTGAAGATTGCTGTGAGCTATGACACCATAGCACTCTACCCAAGGCAACAGCTTGAGACTCTGTCTCAAAAGAAAAAAAAAATACAAACCTGGGAATTGCCAAAATACATGTGTAAGAATGGTGAGGTGGCCTTGCCTTACCAGAAAGATACCAACATAAGAGGTTGGGCGTGGTGACTCACACCTGTAATCCTAGCACTCTGAGAGGCCAGGGCAGGTAGATTGCCTCAGCTCATAGGTGTGAGGCCAGCCTAAACCAGAGTGAGACCCCCATCTCTAAAATTAGCTGGGCGTTGTAGTGGGTGCCTGTAGTCCCAGCTACTCTGGATGCTGAAGCAAGAGAATTGCTTGAGCCCAAGAGTTCGAGTTTGCTGTGAGCTGATATCATAGCACTCTATCAAGGGTGACAAGGTGAGACTCTGTCTCCAAAAAAGAAAGAAAGAAACCATAAGGCGGCCCCTGTGGCTCAGTGAATAGGGCACTGGCCACCCCCCATACCAAGGGTGGCAGGTTCAAAGCTGACCCCAGGCAGCTAAAGCAGCAATGAGAATTGCAACAACAACAACAAATAGCCCGGCATTTTGGTGGGCGCCTGTAGTCCCATTTACTCAGGAGGCTGAGGCAAGAGGATTGCTTAAGCCCAGGAGTTGGAGGTTGCTGTGAGTGGTGATGCCACAGCACTCTACTGAGGGTGACAAAATAAGACTCTGTCTCAAAAAAAAAAAAAAAGAAAAGAAAAGAAATCATCATAAGAACATTATAATTGAATCAATATGGTATTGAAAAAAGGACAAGACTAACAGATCCATGGAGCCAAATTAGGAACATAGAACTGGACCCCAATTAATTTGAAGGTTTACTGTATGACACACCAAGCATTTCAATTTGGCAGGAACAGGCAGGTTTCTGTGATGAGAGTGCCACACTCAGCTCACTGCCATCAGGAAGAAAATGCAGCTGGGCTTGTCTTTTACGCTGGCCTCCAAAATAAATTCCAGAAGGATCAAACTCTTAAATGTAAAACCCCCTCACAAAAACAAACAAACAAACAAATCCATACTGAGGATATTGTGAGGAACTGTAAAAGATGAGAAGATCTTAACCAATACTGAAAAACGTAGAAGTTATAAAGAGAAAGACAGGCATATGTGACTATTTAAATGTGAGCACGCCAAAAGATGCTGTGGACAAAGTGCAGAGACAAAGACGGGATTCAGGAAAAAAAAAATCTGCAAAGCAGAAGACAGTAGTGCTTAATGTTGCCCACACAAAGGGCTTTTACAAATCAAGAAAGGGACAAACAACATCATAAAAAAAAAATGAGCTAAGCATATAAAGAGGCAATTCACAGGAGAAAAACTCCAATGGCCAACAAACAAAAGATGTTTCTTTTTTTGGTCGGGACTGGGTTTGAACCTGCCACCTCCGGCATATGGGGCAGGTGCCCTACCCTTTTGAGCCACAGACGCCACCCCAAAAGATGTTTCTTGATTTGACTAAAAGGTTGGGAAAATGCAAATTAAATTTATACTACTATACCTCTTTATCCATCAGTCTGGCAAAGATTAAAAATGCCTTCATGGTACGGCACCTGTGGCTCAGTGGGTAGGGCGCTGGCCCCATATAGCGAGGGTGGGGGGTTCAAACCCCAGCCCTGGCCAAACTGCAACAAAAAATAGCTGGGCGTTGTGGCGAGTGCCTGTAGTCCCAGCTACTCAGGAGGCTGAGGCAGGAGAATCGACAAGGCCACTGGGGAGCTCAGCCATTTTTGCATTCTAGTCCACCCACTGGCTGAAATAGGGCCCTTTGTCTTTCGAAGCAGGTGTTCGGATGTTTCTCTTCATTGGGCCTCATTTTCCTGCAACACAATAATGATTAAAAATCAAACACTGGGTGGGGCACAGCGGCTCACATCTGTAGTCCTAGCACTCTGGCAGGCCAAGGCAGGTGGATGACTTGAGTTCAGGGGTTCCAGACCAGCCTGAGCAAGATCGAGACCTCGTCTCTACTAAAAATAGAAAAACTAGCAGGGCATTGTGGCAGGCAATTGTTGTCCCAACTACTTGAGAACCTGAGGCAAGAGGCTCTCTTGAGGGCAAGAGACTAATGTTGCTGAGGATATTGTGAGGAAATGTAAAAAATGAGAAGATCTTGGCTTGGCGCCTGTGGCTCAAGCGGCCAAGGCGCCAGCCACATACACCTAAGGTGGCGGGTTCGAATCCCCAACCCGGGCCCACCAAGCAACAATGATGGCTGCGGCCGAAAAAAGGCCAGGCGTTGTGACGGGCGCCTGTGGTCCCAGCTACTTGGGAGGCTGAGGCAGGAGACTCGCTTGACTCCAGGAGTTGGAGATTGCTGTGAGTGTGATGCCATGGCACTCTACCCAGGGGGATAGCTTGAGGCTCCGTCTCGGAAAAAAAAAAAAAAAAAAGAGAGAAGATCTTAACCAAGACTGAAAAATGTAGAAGTTATGAAGAGAAAGACAGGCATATGTGACTATTTAAATGTGAGCAAGAGACTACTGTTGCTGTGAGCTACGATGACACCATGACACTCTACCAAGGACAACAAAGTGAGACTCTGTCTTCAAAAAAAAAATCAAACACTAAACACATTCTGGGTATATATGTACATTTGCCCATCTCTCCAATATAGGCTTATTCTTGTTTATAAAAGGGTAAAATATGGAAAGAAACATACCAGTGTTGACCCGGGTTAACTAGAGATGGGGTGGGAAATGTTGGGGGCAGGAAGGAGAAATCAAACAAAAAGGCAAAGAAAAAGTAAACCTCACTTAAAACAACAGGTGGTGGGCGCCTGTGGTCCCAGCTACTCAGGAGGCTGAGGCAAGAGAATCGCTTAAGCCCAGGAGTGGGAGGTTGCTGTGAGCTGTGTGATGCCACGGCACTCTACCGAGGCCGATAGGGTGAGACTCTGTCTCTACCAAAAAAAAACAACGTGTATTGATATTATGACCATATAGTCATCAGAGTTCAGAGAAACTGTTTAGACATAAGAGCTGTCCAGAAAGTATCCAGCCATGTACGATGAAAAATAGTATTAACACCATATGTAACAATTTATACCTACATAT